CCTATTCTACAACATTTTTAGAGTTGGAACGGTGAGCCCCACTCACTACTGATGTCTCAGAAGGGGAAGAGGGGCCACAGATGAAGCTAAGGGTAAATTTCCTCAGCCATGCACACATAGTGAAATTTCCATAAAAACCTCTTTGAGAGTTSAAAGAGCTTCCAAGTTGGTGACTACAACAATACACCTTGATAGGTGCTGGGAGAGGGATGCTCTTGGAGGGGGCATGGAAAAGCTGCATTGCCTCCCACACTCCCAGGTATCTCACCCTATGTACCTCTTCCATGTGGCTGTTTTATCTGTTGTAATAGATTGGCAAGAGAAATTAAACTYTTCCTGAGTTCTGCAAATCATTCTAGGAAATTCTTGCATCCAAGGAGGGAGCTAGTTAGTCAGAACTAAGAAGCCTGGGACTTCAAGCCTGGATTCTCAGTTGGGGGAGTCTTATGGGAATGAGCCCTTAATCTTTGGGATCTGGTGCTAACCAGGTACTTTCTATCAGAAATGAAATGAATCATTTCATTACACACCCAATTGGTGTCAGAGTTGGAGAAGTGGTATATAAAGCCCCTACATATTTTATCAAAAGTGTTGGGAGTAAGAAAGACTGCAGAAATCCAATGCCAATCCCTTTTACAAACGGTTATGCTAGTGCTATTAAACAATGACATACTAAATTTATGAACACCTCATGTTGTCAGAACAAAGAAGGTTKAAGAATTAAGTGTTGTTTTTAATAATTTCATTGCAAAAAGAATCCTTGTCTTCTTTTCTCCTTCCAGTTGCCCTATTTGGCCCACTCTTAACATGAGTAAAAATGAATACCTCATAACATTCATAATCCCTATAATATCTCCAGTTAAGGCCCCTAAYCAAATATTACTGATTGCTTCAAAGTTACTGATCGAGCTTAATATTTTATACTGTCCCAATTTATCCATCACAACTACAATTAACATTTATCTGAGGGATCCCATTTTACACATACTTTTTTTTTAAAACCTATAGGCTATTTCTGTAGCCCTCCACTGTTCAAAATGTATGRAGAAAGGACAATCAAGGGCCTGTCTATCCCCACACACTCAGCTATGGAATTAGTGATGAWACTGTACTAAAGAGAGAAACTTATGAAGCCATCATATAAGACATTAGAAATGTTGATTAGACTTTGATCTTGGCTAAACTACCATTACGTACAAGAAGGTTCAGAGCCCTACCTCTATCAAATTTGGAAGCAAAATTTGGTCCATGAAAAGCAGCTGTATGCAGTCAAGCAATAAGTATTGGCTCTCTTTGTTCTGATCTTACTTGTCCCATTTGGTTTTGGATGGTAACAATTCATGCCCTCTTTAGTTTTTTAAAACCCGAGTCACTAATTAATTTGGGTCAATTTGCAAACTTCACCTTTCTCCAATACATATTTGTTCACAGGAAACCAGAGATTGTAGTACTGACCCAAATATTTGGGGTGAACCGTGACAATTCTAGGAAACTTACACTTTGACTTGGTGTAAGCAATCCATAAGCCTCATCACCTTCCCATGTCTACTGCCTCCTTCACAATCCTGATAAGGTTCCCCTGTGGATCCCAAGTGCATGTGCCCTCCCACCATCTCTTTTAAACTTCCTGCTGGCAGAACTTCCCCATATGAACACTGACTACTCTTTTTGTTCTAGACCTTCTACTGACTACTCTTTCTGTACTAAATTTCACAACAAACCCATTCCTCACCTTTTGGAATCAAAGGGGCTACTGTCACAATTCATGAAAAACAAACCTAACTTTGGAGGGAGCTGCTCCATGTCACAATGCAGTTGCTGTAACAGTTATACAGATTGGCAGGGAAAAAGGAAAAAAAAGTTTTTATAGATAACATGATTATCCACCCACAAAGCCCCAAGGGTTGGGCATGGTGGTACATGCCTGTAATCCCAGTGACTCAAGAGACTAAGGCAGGAGAATCACAAGTTGAGACCAGCCTCAGCAACTTAATAAGGCTCTAAGCAATTTAGTGAGACCCTGTCTCAAAATGGGAAAAAAAAAAAAAGTCTGGGAGGTAGTCCTGTGGTTAAGGACCCCTGGGCACAATACATGGGAGAGAGAAAGGAAGGAAGGAAATCCCAAGGATTTCCTTCAGCTATTTAACAATTTAAACTTTTAAGTTTGGCAAGAGGGTAGGATATAAACAATTGTACTTCTATTGTAGTACATAAACAATTGTACTTCTACATTTTARCAATGAACAACTGAAAATTAATGTTTGATAAATAGTACCATTTAATTTAGCACCAAAAAGCATGGGATACTTATGTATAAATCTAATAAAATATGTACAGGATCTATATGCTGAAAACTACAAACTTCTCATGAAAGTAACCAAAGAAGTTCCAAACAAAATTATACCATGTCTATGATGTGGAACATTCAATATTGCTAAGATTCCAATTGTCCCTAAATTCATTTTACACRTTCAATGAAATCCTAAGAAAAATCAGAAAAATGTACTTTTAAAAATCACAAAGCTAGAGTCTACAGATTATGGGAGGACAAACAAAAGTCAAATTAGTGCTGAAAATTGGAAGACTTACATTATCCTATTTCAAGATATATAAACAAGAGCTATGGTTGTACAACATTTGGCAAAATGACAGATCCAAAGATCAATGAAACTAAAGGCCAGAAAAAGACYTACACACAGATTTTTGACAAAGGTGAGAGAGCAATTCAGTGCTGAAAAGGTAGATAATTGAGTGTCCATACATAAAAAGGGACCTTGGCCTCACACCTTAACAGATTAACTCAAATGGCTCACAGTCCTAGATATCTTCACAGTCCTGAAGACGTAAAATTTTTGTTACCTTGGATTAGGTAGAGTACTTATATCTGGAAACAGAAAAATAAAAATCTATTAAAGTCCAAAATTGAACCTTATCAAAAACTTTTAAATTTCCACTCTGAAAAATACTGTTAATCAAATTAAAATAAACACCACATACTGCAACAAAATATTTGCAAAGCACATGGCTAACAACAGATATGTATTTGGATCAGTTTTATACACACACACACACACACACACACACAACACACAGAGTTTTTTTTTTCCTTAACACACAGTTGTTTTTTTCTGTTTTTTTTTTTTTTTAAAGGGCCACGATTTCAACAGTTCACCAAAGTAAATAAGAACACCAAACAAGCACATGTAAAGACACTGAACGTAGTCCTAGCTAGGGAAACACAAAACAAGATACCACTAAAGCCTTGTGAAACACAACAGATTAAACAAAAACAAAAGAAAACCCTAAAACATCTTGGTGAGAAAGAACTGGAACTCTCATACATTGATGATGGGAATACAAAATGGAAAGTCATTTTAGAAGTTTGTCCATGTTTTGGAAAGTTAAAAATATTTTTACCATACAACCCAGCAATAATCCTAGATATTTATGAAGACAAAAGGAATCAYGTTGATACACAAAACTGTATGTAAATGTTTATAGCTGCTTTCTTCATAGCTGCTGAATCTGAAAACCCAAATATTCTTCAAGTGACAAATGGATAAGCAAATGTGCTACATCCACACAACAGAGTACTACTCAGCAATAAAAGGAATGACCTGGGGAAGGAGCCCAGTGGTAGAGCATTGGCCTGGCATTCATGTGGCCCTAAGTTTGATCCCAAGCACTGTCCGGACCCACAAAAAAAGGGAATGACAGATACATGTAAGAAGATGGGCAAATCTCCCAAGCATTATGCAAAGTGCAAAAAGCCAGAATCAACAATCTACATTCTATTAGATTCCATTGGGAAAAGTAAAAGTAATAGAAAAACGTGTCAGTGGTTGCCAAGGACTGGCAATCGGGAGAAGGGCTGACTATACTGAACAAGGGAACTTTGAGGCAGGGGATACTAGAACTTTTAAGTTTTTTACTGTGGTGGTGGTTACCTGACGGTAAACATTTACCAAAGCTCAGCTTTAGTGTATATAAATTATTCCTTATTTAAAATTTTTTAATGTTATATTTCATATTTCTTTTATCTAAGAAATTTTTATCATGAACAGGTGCTGRATTTTGTTAAATGTTTTCTCTAAATCTGAAACACTAATCCTAAGGATCCACAAACAGGAAAGTACTGAACCAATATGATATTCAACAGAGCTAACTAATCTATAGAGTAAAAATCATAATATATATTGGCATTGAAGGTGGGATTGACTGGGAATGGGCATAGAGAAACTTTCTGCTTAACAAAAATATTGTACACATATGTCAAAACTCAGGAAGTGAAGTGAGGTGTAGATCAGTGATAGAGGACTTGCTTAGCATGGGTGAGGCCCTGGGTTCCATCCCCAGCACCAAAAAACAATTTAGGAAGCCACAGATTTGAGATTTATACGTTACTGAATTCAAACTATACCCCAAAAAGGTACAATAATTCTGGCCACAATCCATTGAACTGATTTATGAACCTACTAATGAGCTATACCACTCYCCAATTTGATAAATCTTCATTTATAGGTTGCACAGGGTTGGAAAAATGTGTGCATATATCTAATTTAAATGTCCTCTAAGCCTTGTAGAACAATTMATCTGAGGATGATTTTACAGAAACTAATTTAGAGATGAACTGGATAAAAACCTTTAAATATATAAAAACCTTTCTACTATTTAGCAATTACTGTGAACATACAATATACTAGGCACTGAAAATGCAGAGATTTGGCAGTCAATAAGGTCTCTACTCTCTTGGAGATTACATTCTAATTGAATGGATTTTGGAACTTCCATCTTGGTACTTTTTAGTTTATTCCAGATCAGATTCATCCTTCTTGAGCTTCWTGTTTGTATATATCTGTTAGAGGTGAAGGTTCTGAATAAAGTCCTGTGGTTYCATTCTTATGAGGCTTCTCTGTGTTTGGTCTCTCAACCACTATCAATCTCTAGCAAAAACCAGCCCTTTTATTAAGCAAATCTTTTATCTTCTATGACAGCTCTGATAATTGGACTATTTCAGCACACATTTGAGATACTAAAACATAAAATTTTACAGTTTATGATGAAGGGAAGTCCTTATCACCCTCATCATCAGCATGGATTCTCTGATGAATTATAAGACTTGAGCTCCAACTGAAGCCCTTCCCACACTCCTCACATGTGTATGGTTTTTCTCCAGTGTGAACTCTCTGATGGGCTTGAAGGTATGAGCTCCAACTGAAAACCTTCCCACATTCCTCACATTTGTATGGCTTCTCTCCAGTGTGTACCCTCTGGTGGGCTTGAAGGTAGGATCTCTGTCGAAAACGCTTTCCACACACATCACATCGGTATGGTTTTTCTCCTGTGTGGACGCCACGATGAGCCAGAAAGTTTGAGGCCCGACAGAAGCCCTTCCCACACTCTGCACATTGATATGGTTTCTCTCCAGTGTGGCACCTCTGATGGGCTTGAAGCTGAGAACCTACACTGAAGCCCTTCCCACACTCAGCACACTGATATGGTTTCTCCCCAGTGTGGACTCTCTGATGCACTTGAAGACTTGAGAACTGACTGAAAGCCTTGCCACACTTTTCACATTTATAGGGTTTCTCTCCTGTATGGATTCTACAGTGAACGTTAAGATCTGAACTCCGACTGAAGCCCTTCCCACAAGTACCACATTTGTATGGCTTTTCTCCAGTGTGGCCTCTCTGATGGGCCAGAAGATTTGAGGCCTGACTGAAGCCYTTACCACACTCCTCACATTTATAGGGTTTTTCTCCTGTATGGACTCTAAAATGAATGTTAAAATCTGAGCTACGACTGAAGCCCTTACCACAAGCATCACACTGATACGGTTTCTCTCCAGTATGGCCTCTCTGATGGTCCAGAAGATTTGAGGCCCGACAGAAACCCTTCCCACACTCCTCACATTTGTATGGTTTCTCTCCAGTGTGGCTTATCTGATGGGCTTGAAGGTGTGAACCCACACTGAAGCCTTTCCCACACTCCTCACATTTGTAGGGTTTCTCCCCTGTGTGGATTCTACAGTGAATGTTAAGGTGTGAGCTATAACTAAAGCCCTTGCCACATGCATTGCATTTGTATGGTTTCTCTCCAGTGTGGATTCGCTGATGGGCCTGTAGTCGTGAACGCCAACTGAAGCCCTTCCCACACTCTTCACATTTATAAGGTTTCTTTCCAGTGTGGACTCTCTGATGGACTTGAAGATAAGAGCTCTGGCTGAAGCTCACTCCACACTCCTCACATTTATAGGGTTTCTCTCCTGGGTGGACTAGCAGAGGACCTTGGCAATATGAGCTGTTTCGGACACCTCTCCCATGCTCCTCATGCTTGTATGGATTCTCTCCARTACGGACTCTCCGATGATGGGGAGATTGCAACTTTTGACTGAAACCCTTACACAATTCATCAGATTTGTTTGAACTCTCTCTACTGTGCACTCTCTGATGGGCTTGCAGACTGGAAAATCGACGGAAGGTATTATCACATTTTTCACATTTGTAGGGCTTGTCTCCTGCATGGGGTCTCTGGTTAACTTCAAGATGAGAATCCCAAATTGAACCTTTCTTACATGTCTCCCTTTTGTAATGTTTTTTATCAACATGGATTCTGTGGTAAACTTGAAGACGTGAATCCTTGTTAAAACATTTCTTGAACACATCTTCAGAGAGTGCAACATCTTGTTTTTTTAACCAAGAGCCAGTTCCTTGAATATTTATCATGGACTCTTGATGCCCAGTTAAGTCCCCTGTAACCTGTTGCCAGACTTGTGAGTAGAAAAGCTCATCATGGGGCAGATACTGTAACTTTACTTCTTGGAGAGTCTCTATCTCACTTAGATTCTTATTTCCTAAAAGGACAAAGAGAATTCAGAGATGAATGCTCGTTCAGTTATGTGATTAGGCCAATAGCCTAAGGTTTTATTAAGAAGGTTCTATTTTTCTTTATCATCATGCATTAGGTTATCTGTCTTATAAGAGCCCAAAAACCAAGAGACAGTCTACTATGCTCCCATTCACTGCACAATAATGACACCCATTTAGAGTTTTCCTAAGTTTTATAAGTAAGCTATAAGTTAGAGATTTGATAGTCAAAGAGCAAGAATAATACTTCCTAGGAAACCTATACCAAGAAGCTGAACCTTACCAAAAGGCTTGCCTTCTTTTGCTGCAGCAGGTGTCTGGTAAAATCTTCTACATAATTTTTYTGCTTACTGCATGTACAACTGGCTCAGCCATTCAGTCTAGGGTAATTGTTATAGCAGTTGCGACAGACTAAGACAGTGAATTAATGGATTTTAGCATATGTTTACCTATATCCAAAAGAACCTCGTAAACTAGAAATAGGTTAGACACCTAACCGAATAAAGCTGTTCTAGATTGTGTTTCATCACACATTTGTACATTTAAGTATCTCCATAACTAATAGAAAAAAATCCATGTAACCATTATTAACACATTAATTCATTCCACAAGTATTTATAGGAAACCTGCCCTCTGCCRGGTCAATTTTATACACTGAGGATAGACCAACAAAATAGACAAAAATTTTCCTTTCTTCTGAGGTCACATTCCAGTGGGAATACAGTGAGATAATCATGTAAACAAAAATATGTTAATATAATAAGTGGTGATCAATGCTTAGATGTAAAATAAAYAGGAAAAGGGAAGCAAAGGAAGAAGGCAAAATTAACAGAGTGGTCATGGAAGGCTTTTCTTCAGATAGGACATCTGAGAAGAGACCTGATGAAGTAAGGAAGGGGCCAAGAGGATGACAGAAGGAAACACCACTCCTTACAAAAAGCAGTCCAAGCAGCAGGTGATGAGGCACAAGCACACTCAGCCTAGCAGAGAGGCCAGTATGGATGAACTGATTGACAAGGAGGAAAGTCACAGGGGAACAAGGAGCAGACAGACACATGAGACATTATAAACCACTTTAGGTACCTGGATTTTACTCTAAACGAAGTAAGAAGTCGTTAGAGGTTTAGAATAAGAAATGAGACATGATCTGACTAACATTCAAGAGTCAAAGAGGCTGGGATTGTGGCTCAGTGGTAGAGCACTTGCCTAGCATGTGTAAGGCACTGGGTTCGATTCTCAGCACCACATAAAAATAAATAAAAATCCATCAACGACTTAAAAAAAATTAAAAAAAAAAAGGAGCAAAATCAAAGTGGAGAGTGGACTATAAGAGAGCACAACTGAAGGGTGAGGGCAGAATAAAGACCACTTCAGTGATTAGAGACCCAGGCACTAGCTTAACTCAGAGCAAAGCTGTGGAGATGACAAGGACAGACACAGAACTGCATGGTTCTCACCTGGGGAGTTACCACTCTGAGTTGACACCTTCTTCATCCAAAGCTCTTCTCTCTCTCTCTCTGGTGTGATGGACTGATGTCCTACAAAAAGACAAAA